TTTGTCTTAACGTCTTAATTTTGGAGATTTAGCAAAACATTTTCTCAAAAATTTCGACAGGATATGGGATGACTGTTCAAGAAAGGTGGGAGGAGGAGGAGGTTAAAAAGTATTATGTGTTTGCCTTAGTTTCTATTTCAGTATCCTTTATGCCACCAACGTCTTGTGAACGGACCGGTTCGTGTAGATCACCTTCATGTCTGACGGTGACATTTGGAGAGATGCAAGATCACACTGTTTAGCCTGGCTTTTTGTATATTATAATAATGACTGTATTCTAGATATGTTAGCATATGGTAGAGAATTTTCGACTTATTTTAATTGCAATATACAAATCTCTCAGATATCTTTTCTTTACTTCCTTCGAGAAGTGGTCTGCATTTTGTTGACAGCAAATTAGAAATGTATGCGACTTCATTTATCGCTTGAAGATGATAAAATGACGAAATTAATAGATATGGAGAACATACACCTCCACTTTTCTTCGCTTAATGATTTCCTCTCCAGCTGGCTAGCACATGTTATCTATAATCACTCATCTCCTCCTTATCACACGACCTCCTCCATGTCATCCTTGTATCGACCACGCTGTAGTCGCTTTTCACTGAGATTTTACTTGAATAGTGGCCTGCATTGCGTGCGATGTCATTTGATAGTTTCCTTCCTTAGCATTTGTCCTATCAGTCTCCACTTTCTTCTACATGTTTGTTGAGAAATCGACTCTTGGCTGGTTAGCTGTCTGTCTGAGTTGCTTGTTGCTAATTCTTTTTGGTCGGCCGGTTGGTCATCTGATCTTCAGGTATGGAGAGAGCAAAAAGGGCAGCCACTGACAAAAGTCTGTACCTTGCTGGAAATCCTTTTTGTGACACACACAAGGCAAGTTTCTAACCCCTATAAACAAACAAACAAACAAGTGACCAATTTCACATTTTATTCTTCAAGCTGACTGAGGTAGTCCAGAAAATTTTCTAACTGGTTTCGTATTGTCGAAGGCCTATCTTGCCTTTCCGATTTCGACTTTGATATCTTCATGCGTTTCGTAGGCCTCTGGTTAAAACCACCCTTCCCGGGTGGATACGTGAAGGGAGTAACCTATGTCAAATATCGCTGATGGCGATTGGTGCTGGTTGTTGTTGCTGTTGTGGTTCATATGTTATCCTAGTCACCTCCACTATTTGTATGTTCACTTGAAGTTCCGTCTTTGCTGCCAGCCTATCCTGCCAGTTTGTTGGTTTCTACCTGTAATACGCCTTTCGAAGGTAAAGTTTACCAGTATACCATTGGTCTTATAAATTCTTTATTAAATATAGAAACGAAAAGGTGTTCAGCAAAGAGTTACTCTTTTCGGCGATATCATTCTCAAGCTGTACAAATCGCAAATTTATAGTAATTTGTCTTGGCGACAAAAGGAATATTTCCAAAGATGTGTTAATGCAATTGTTAGTTTTTGACAAACAAATTACGTAATTTTGAAGGCGTTAACCGGTTAGAAACTAAAATAAAGTTACAAAAGTAGGTTGGATGACGTAATCTAATTGATAGGGTTCAATGAAAAAATGAATGAGAGTCAAGTTAATAATCTGAGTAGAATTCACATGAAAATGAATGAGAGTGAAGTTAATAAGCTGAGTAGAATTTACTTAAAAATAAACGAAAATCGAGTTAGCAACAGTCGTCATGAGCGTAGAGATTTAATAAAGGGTGGGGGTAGAAAATAATGCAATTAAGAAATAGACAAACAAAGAAGAAAGAGTTTAGACAAAATTACGTATTTGGTGTTAAGATAGATCAGGACCATTGTAGATTTAGTGACTGAACAAACTTCTTTTGTATGCAGAGTTCAGGATTCCATATGTGAAGTGCCATTGTTTCTGCAGTTTGAAGAAGTTTAATTCGTACTCTTTTGGGAAGATTCCCACGTATTTTGTGGATAACTGAGAAGTTGTTTTGTGGGTTTGCTTGGTGTTCGGATTCGGTCAAGTGTTCTAGGATAGAGCTGTGGCGGGGGGATCTTCTTTCTCCTTTATAAAACCATGATGGTAAGTGTTCGCTGATTCGTTTGGGTAGCAAACGCTGGGTACGGCCGACATACCTAGCTCCACATGAGCAGGTGAATTGGTAGATGCACATTGATGAGGCCCCCAGTGGAAGCTTATCCTTCACGTTCGTGCGAATCATTGGTTTCGTAGAGAAAGTTAGTCTGAGTTAGTCTGAGTTTATTAAATATAACTACGACCACACAGCTTGTAAGAACGAATCTTCACGAAGAAATGTTTCTTAGCTGTTCAAGTCTTTTTGCCATGATTTAAAGTTATAGATTTAACTGACATTAGTTAAAAAAACCCATTGAAATCAGGCCATCTGCATCGTCTAAGTTTAGGATACTGACATCAGTAAATGCAGTCTCAACGATTGATTGGTTAATTGGCTCACCTCTTAACTACAAAGCTCCGGACTGAATACCTGTGGATGATTGCTAAATTAGAATTAAACAGCTGTTCAGTTCTCTTGAATTTTTGAGTAATTTTCAAAACAGCTGTCAATACCTGATGTAACCTGCAAAATGAAATTGAAATTCAACTCTGCACAAAGATGCTGCATCAATCAGTGTCTCACGAATATGCAGAAGACTGTGGAGGGCGAGAAGAAGCGAATATGTTAAACCGACAGAAAGACTCTAGAAAATCTGAATTTCGCTGATGATTTATGTGGAATGTCATACAAAGTTGAACACTTACAACGGCAACTAATCAGTAGTACAAGAAGTAACAAAGAAGGAATGTGACGTGAACATAGAAAAAAGGAGGCGAAGAAAACAACCAACCAGGCGACAGTGACAAGCACTAATCACCTGTCTAGGCGGGCCATAGTGATGGATGCAGATGTCAAAAGCAGAATGCAGAAGGCAAGGTAGATATTTATCACTCCAAAATTATGATAAAGAAAGGAAGACGAAATTTACAGTATAAAATGGTATATCATCATTCTATTTCACAGGTACTCATCGGCTGCAGACTACCTGAAATTACAATGGTTATTTGGATGATGATAATAACATACCTTAATGTTTGAGTGGTAGTAGAGAAGAGATACTATAAAAATAACGCATCCAAAATGATGAAAGCATTACAATTTTTAGTTTAAGTTTTCATCATCAATTTATAGGCATTGAAAGTAGAAAAGAGAGGGGACGGGTAAGACGGAAAACAGAAAAGATTAACAAACAGTGTTAGCTTGTAGCTTTTTCACATGTCAACTGAAAAAATAACAAGAGCATTTGCATGTCATAACAATGAGATTTGTTCAGTGAGTTGAGATCAATGAATTCGATGACTAATTAATGTAATTAAAATCAAAATTCACTTATCAAGGGAGAAGGAGGTTAATCGCACTCTCTTTCTGAATGCACAAGTCTGATTGAAATCGTTTCATCGCAATCGCTTCAAAAAGAACGTAGGAAATTTGCTATCTTTTGTCTATTTAATATTTTGAAGGACTTAGAAATCTCTGTCAGATGTCCGGTACAACAGTATGTCCGATAATTGCGCTGTGAGAATATTTGCTTCTTTTTAGGCACAGGTTTCTTGGAATATGTTCAGATAACCGGATAAAAGCCCATCTTTGCGTCCTTCCAATGTACTTGCTCCTGCAAGTGCACCCGAATTCATAAACGCAGTTTGAAGTGATATCAACAGGGTATTTATCCAGTTTCGGATGGCTTACAGAAGAAGTGGAGCTGTATAATGTTATGAGTTTTTCTGCCAGGAATCTTCTTTTTATTGCACCTTTCAGTCTTTTGTCAATCTTTTGTGTCAATTATTTTGTGCGTCGGTGGCACAGTGGTTAGGACTCTCGCCGACCATGCACATGGTTCGGGGTTCGAGCCCTCGCCGACGCACACCTGATATCTATGGTTGGCCTGCGAATTTCGGGCTACCGATATTCACGCTGAAAATTCCACACTTGTACCAAAAAATACGGTGTGGAATCAAGCTGTAACCATAAAATAAAAAAAAATAATAAAAAAATAAAAACTGTATCTCCTTGGAATTGGAGACGAATAAACACTTTCTTCTTTTCTACAGTTGGGTGTTTTTCCTTCTTATCTTTTTCTCTGCTATACTTCTGTATAAATCTTTTAAGGTATCCATTTTCTCTTAGGCATTTCTCAACGAAATCTAATTCTTCTTCAACCTCCTTTGGTAAACATGGCTTCCTGGCTTTGACGTACAAAGTCCTCATTAATCCACTTTTATAGCTGATGACACAAAAGCTGTTACAGTGAAGATGTCACCCAGTCAAGGTTTCTTTTCTATAGATGAACTTTTCGATCATGCCTTCGTTTGTTCTTTCTTCATTCATATTCCATAGTGAATTTGCTATTTGGATGTGTCTTATTTAGGCGAATGAGAACCTGCGAAATAGAATGATGATATACCATTTTATACTGCAAATTTCGTCTTCCTTTCTTTATCGAAATTTATCAAGGGAACCAAATGCATAAAACTCTAAAATTAGTTTGTAAATATTCTCAAACCTGCCGGAGCATAAACAACATAGTTCTGATTGTTGAAATCAATTTTAACTTATTGAATTCTTCTATATGGGTCAGAAATATGGCTTAAAAGTCAGAGAAAAGCATTTCCGACAAGCACCTGAAGGCTTTTGTATCAACACCTACCTTCTCTAACTCCATAGTAAATACCTCATGGGTGTCCAGAAACAGTTACCAACAAAAAGCTGTAGGAACGATCCGTCCAACAGCCTAATGCTCAGTCGGGCTGGGTCGGATACAAGCAAGCAAGCAGTGGGATCCGATCAAGAAGATTAGAACTTTGGCGTAGTTCAGATGTTCACATGTAGGCGATGGGGAGTCTATGTCTAAAGAGGACTGAAGCGAATAGGACGAAGCGGAAATGTGCTGCTGAAGCCCTCCCCCTTCCCCATAAAATCTTCCACTCACAACCAACTAAGCGAACACTAAGTACTAAAAATAATACTAACAATACACAAATAGTTTATTCAGTACATTTAAATAAATACACTCAAACACATAGATACACAGAAAAAAAGCAGAAAAGCGGCAAAACGAAATCTTCAGAAAAAGAATATTATTTTTCGTAGAAAACACAAATATATATGTAATATAAAGATTTTCATTTAGTTCACTTTACACAGATGTTATATCAGGTAGATATCTAAGATGAGTAGGATCTGTGATACTATCCGATTCAGGAATAATATCACATTCGTCATCGTCATCTTCTTCAGGTTTATCCAGGAGAAAGTATCTTTTCAATGAAGTATTCACGCTTGTACTATTCGAATGCACAGTATTTCGATTATTTGCCAATGATTGTGCATGATCTTGTTCATAATTCATAATTTGTACAGATATTTCATTGGAAGCAGTTGAATGATCTTCAGTTTTTGATATGAAACTATTTCTTATTGTTTGTGATATAGTATCATAAGAATCATTTGTATTACTATTATTATTATTAATATTAGAATTATTGTTATTATTATTATTATTATTACTAGTTGTATTATTACTTCCACTATTACTTGACATCTGCGTTGAATTCAATTCCACTGATCGTGATGTGAACAATGAGAAGACTGTACATGAATCTTGTGTCGATGATAATGAACGCTTTTCAGTTGACTTTTTGCATTCTTTCATTTTTTTCATTATTAATTGTTTATGATTACTATTATTTCTGGTTGTATCAATTGTAGTTACATGATTTACAAATTGATAATTTGGTATTTGTTCAATATACTCTGCTTGTTCACTATGGATATATCTATGCCCAGTCTCATTGTTTCGATTATTACTAGTTATATCTTGAGTAATATTTTTATGCGAAGACTTTATATTTGGCAGTATTGTCGAGTGTATATGAAATACTTGATAGAATTCTGATCGAAAAGATTTATTCAACCAACCATAGAGGATTGGATTAACACAAGCAGAACTTAAAATTAACAGTAAGCATAAAGCTTGTGTTATGATAACAGTGATAGCATCGATGTTATTGGCTTCTATACTCTTTATTTTACTGATCGCTTTTAAAATGGTGATTGAATGTTGAGACATTGAATCACCGCTAGGGGCGGTCGATTCAATCTTCACGGTACTGTTGTTATTATTATTATTCGTTGATATATTTTGATTGGTTTTGTAAGTTTTTAAATTTCTAAAAGCTAAATCATAGGCGGTTACAATTTCCAGCTCACGCATATCACTGATTACATTCAACGTGTTAATTGGTAACCAACTTAAACAGAATACAATTGCAATGACAGTGGACAGGATAATCGCTTTACGATGTCGACGATCTATCATTTCTTTCTGGGATGCTGATGTCGAGTTCACAGATGATGGCGAGAGAAGCGTTCTCTGTCGATCTAATCCATTATGTTTTTGATAATATGTTGGGCTTGTATTTTTTGTGGTATATGTATTATCATTATAACTGTTTTTACTAGTAATATTTTTATTAGCAGTAGTATTATCGTTTGTATGTGTCATGGATTCATATTTATCATTCTGTGGATCATTATTAGCTCGAATAATTTGTGAGAGGCAAATTTTTGAATTGCTCGCTCTTTACGATCACGTATACTTAAACAAATACGATAGTAAACAATGGTTACAATCACTAATGGTGTCATATATTGTATAATTAATGCAGCTAATGAATAGAATAATTTAAATTTTTGTGTTGTTGGATTATCGGCTTTTTCTGTGCATTGCAAATGATTCATTTCTGTGATACGTGAAAAGTAGACTAGTGGACTGGCTAGAATAAATGCTGTAATCCATGTGATATAATTGACTTTTATCGCTGTTGTATTACTTCCACGATTTGCTGTTGGATAAATTATACACTGATAAAAAAAGAGACAATATAAAATAAAAATATTTTGATATAATGCAGAAGATTTGTAGCTCAGGTGGATGATTTTGATGTGGTTGTTTCTTCTGAACTGAATGGTATACTTGCAAAGCTTTCATTGCCCCCTACTAGGCGACATCTTCAGTGCATACTTCAATTTCAATTCGAAGTGAGCTTTTAGATTTCTCCACGAGTTTATTAATCACCTCTCCTAGTCACTCTGGATGTGATTGATTGTTTTGTGTGTTTTCACACCTTCTAGGTTACTTGTGTTGGAGGTTTCGCGTGCGTTTCGGATTGTCCTTCTAGGCGAAGACGCTGACGAAATGCAGATCCTTCTAAACACCTTGAGCCGCAATCTACGAATGTTTGGCATGCGATTCGCTCCCGCCAAATCCAAGATGATGATACAAGACTGGACTACATCGACGCCTAGTTTAAAAATAGGAAGTGAAGTGGTTGGTGGAGCACGTTGACCGCTTCACTTATTTGGGAAGTACCATCAGCCCCAACGGGCTGATCTCTGACGAAATCCCAGCACGAATACAGGGGGCTAGTTTCGCATTTGCCAGTTTACGCCGACTCTGGCGTAGACGAGATGTTCGACTATCGACCAAAGGGCGGTTGTATTGCTCATCAGTCCGCCCCGTCCTCCTTTATGGTTGTGAGACCTGGCCACTGAGAGTGGAAGACATGAAAAGGCTAGCTGTCTTTGATCATAGGTGCCTGCGGTCTATTTCCCGTGTAAAGTGGCATAATAAGGTGAGCAACATTGAGGTTAGGCGTCGAGTTCTAGTTAAACAGAGGAAATCAATCGACGAAGTCAGGAAGTTACAAAGGCTGAGATGGTTAGGACATGTGTTACGTATGCCAAGCCATCGCCTCCTCGACGAGCAATGTTTGCGGATATAGGGTCAGGCTGGAAAAAAGCTAGCGGCGGTCAAACAAAAACTTGGCATCAGTCAATGAAATCCACAACAGTTGGTCTAAGCCACGTAGGAAGGTGTAGACTTCCTGACTGTTTGGGGTCGTCGGGACGGTAAAAATCAATGGCTGGAAACAATTGGTGACATGGCTCAAAATCGTTCTCAGTGGCCAGCGCAGATGCATCCACTCCTTGTGACTTATGATCTCCAATGAAACTGTTTTGTTCTTCGTTATTACTCCTCCTTTGTCTCACACCTCTGTTCACTGTTTCTATTATGCTTTTCTTGTACTTTCTTCTCTTGCTTCGCGTGCTACACGGAATGTGGCGACTTGAACTTCTGCACATTTGTGCAAAGTACTCTGTCGAAAACAGACAGACAGACTTGTGTTGGAACTGATTGTTTCTTTGACTTGAAATTTGACCCTTTGTGTGTGTATGAGGTTTCTTTCTTATCGGTTGATAAATTTTGCCTACCTCGATGTATCTATTGATTGACGATTCACTGGAGTATGCGCTGAAGTTTTTGTCTAGTAGGACAATGTAGGCTTTGCAAATTAACTATTCAACTCGAAGAACACAATCACATCAAAAAATATTGTGAATAAGTAATTTGAATTGTGTATATAACATCTTTTCAAAGATATTCACTCCAAAAATATGGTTAAGATGTGTAGTGATAAAATGAGATCTACACACTACATTCCTCAAGAGAAATAAACAATCTACCTCCCAGAATCCAATTTAGTTTGAAATCAGAATCAGACATAGGTGAACTACCATTTCTAGAATGCCTAGTTAAGAGAAGGGAAAACAGACATTTAGGTATTTCTATATTCAGCAAGAAAGCACACTCCAACAAATATTTAGATATCGGATCGTCACACTTCATCAGCGTAAAGGTATCACTTGTTTCAAGTGTTCTTAGACGAGCACGCTATTAGATGTTAACGGATTAGAAGGAAAAAGTAGAAGAAGAAATATCAAACATCACTGAGACACGGAAGCATAACAACTACCCAAAGAACTTCATCAACAAAATCAGGATTTATAGTAAATATGATCAAAAACTTATTACGAAGACATGGATCTCAACAGTTGTCATTCCATATGGAGCAGAGACGTCAGACGATGTCATAAGAGTACTCAATAAGCTCGACATCAGAGTTTTCTTCAAAACACCAGACACACCTCGAAACAACCTTGTCCATATAAAAGACCAAATCCCTTAAAATTCTCTATCCAACTGAGTCTATAAAATAAAATGCTTGTAATGTATGTGGTATGATATACATCGGACAAACATGTTGAGAAATCAAAATCAGGGGAAATCAACACCGTAGAGCATCTTTTCAACCACTGAGGAAAAAATCCGGTTGAATTAGAAAAGCTTGAATATTCATCATCCTTAGGTCTACACACTATAGAATCAGGCGACAAAATTGATTTTGATAATACTGAAATATTCAACTGTTGGTCTATAGGTTTGGAATGATTGGTTACAGGATTTCATCATGAGCTGACATTGGTTAGAGAACCACTGGAAAACCTGGCAGTACTGGACAGCTGTTTCGTCCTAGTTTGGGACTCTTCATGAGTGCGCACCTTCAGGGCCACTGGATCGGGTCCCAGTGGCTTAACAGTCTACGGCTTAGCATGCTGGGCTTGTAACCAGAAGGTCCTGTGTTCGAACCCCAGCGAGGTGGATGAGCATTGCTGAAGAGTCCCAACTAGGACGAAACAGCTGTCCAGTACTCCTAGGTTTTCCAATGATTCTCTAACCAATGCCAGCTAATGCTGAAATATTGCAATAATCCAGAAAATTTTCAGAAATCACGAAGAACCTCTTACATCATCAGAAGCACTTCATATCAATGGGAATCCCTATTGTCTGATTAAAAATGATGGGCTAAATCAGAATTTGATCTGGTTACAACATCCACATGCCTCACTCCATGAAATGACAAAATCAACATGAATATGATAAGCAATTTCATTATGTAAACATACGCTGCTTTCATAGTTTTACACAATTATCAAATCCAACAATCTACGTCTGGCTTTGTTATCTTAACCGATTAGTCAATTTCACAAGGCAAAAATAACCTCATGCTGAGGAACGATGATTAATTTGTTATGAATAAGCCGAGGAGATTTTGTACACTCTGATTTAATAATATTTAGATAAAGCTATGATCAGCATTTAACAGGAAAACTTCATTAAAAACAATATCGATTTGTTTTTCATTAATTGTGAAATACTGAAAACCTTCTAATTGATGGATGGTGACTAACAGTGGAATCCAGGATGCGGATTTCGTCCTATTTGGGGCTCGTCATCTGGATGCACCTGCAGTTCTCAGTGAGAAACCTTCATTATGATAAATTCAGAAGAGTAGTGTTTACTAGACAGATCGGTGTGATGCAGAAACTAGACGATTGTTTCGCTTATTTGAAGCCGGGCTTATCAGCTGTGTGACTCAGTTCACAGAGCCCAATTACTTCAGACTATCGGATATTTGTCTGGCTAATTCGATGAATTGGATATAAGAGGGAATCAAAATCACAATTTACAAATGTACACATTTAAAGGGGTGACATTTTCACCAAAAACTTCATCTGAACACTAAATTATTCAAATCACTTTGTGTGTTTTGCTTGATGTCTTAAATGATCATCAAAAAGCAAACATATTTGCATGAAACTATCTATACTACTAATTGAGTGAGATAAGTAGTCTTCTGTCACTAGTGTTAATCGGTAGTGTTTGCTTTGAGTTCATTTGGATGAAGGGTTTCATCATGAGCTGACATCAGTTAGAGGACCACTGGAAAACCTGCAGGGAGAACTGGACAGCTATTTTCTCCATCCTGGTTTGGGACTCATCAGCCGTACGCATCAACCATCAGGGTTAGAACCCAGCACCTCCTGGTTACAAGGCTAGCCGGTTAGCTCCTAGACCACCAGACACTAGGCTCTAATCCAATGGCCAACCCATGGATTCTAAATTCTCCGAATTCATGACAGAACGCGACGATTTTACAATGTCTTCTTCGATGAGTTACTGCCTCATCTTCAACTTGTTGTTCCCTACTGCTCACGGCTTCTCACAACTGGTTGAAAATGAGCCAGTAACTCATCGGAGAAGACATTGAGAAATGTTAGCGCTATATTGTGAATTAGCAGAAGTTAGAATTAATGGGTTGGCCATTGGATTGGGGCCCAGTAATTAATGGTCTACGGGCAAGCTCGCTAGCCTGGTAACCAGAAGGAGTTGGGTTATAACCCTTGTGGTTGGTGCGTACAGCTGAAGAGTCTCGAACTAGGCCGGAGGAAACAGCTCTTCAGTAATCCCTGCAGGTTTTCCAGTGGTTCTCTAACTGATGTCAGCTCATGATGAATGAAATCCCCCATCCAATCAAACTAAATCTCAACAAAACTAATCTTTAAGTTCAGTCAAACTGGCTATATGGCTTATGAGCTTTACTGCAAAAGAGGAAAACGGCCGTCGAGCAGGCAGGCAGGCACTACTGGTTGATGTAAAGAGTAGTATTCAGCTGCTGGTTCCAATGAATCAGTAGTATAGATAGCTTCGTCCAAATATCCTTACTGTCTTGATTTCGAGCGAACAATTGTGATTTCGATAACTTCTTCAGGCTCTACAGTTATAAATCCATGAATAATAGAGTACATATAGCCAATAAACGCAAATGAAAATATTATGAGAAACTGTATTGGGGTGCATGCGTAAGTTGAGATGATAGTTCATTAGTTAACATAGCCAATCAAATGTGTATAGGGTGTATAGTCAGTCAGGAAAAATGTGACGAAGTATGAATGAACAAATGGGTGATATAGTGTTTTTCAAGTATTGGTTTTGTAGGGATTTTGTTTGATTGCATGGAGGATTTAATCATGAGCTGATATCAGTTAGAGACCCACTGGAAAACCTGGGAGTACTGGACAGCTGTTTCCTCCGTCCTAGTTTGGGACTCTTCAGCAGAACGCACCCGCCCGGATTCTAACCCAGGACCTTCTGGTTACAAGGCGAGCTCGTAGACCATTGA